TCGTTTGCCTTGATTTTCAACGACGACCGAAATGTAATTTTCACGTTAACTCGCACACGGATCTAAATTCTGCGCGAGCGACGAGACGCCGATGTAAATTATGACTAACTAGCAGCCGGATCGAGTGATCAAATTTCGTGATGACACTTGGCAGATTTAGGGAAAACGGGGGAAAATCTTACGAACCAGAGATAAATGGAAAATCACCAATTATCTCTCTCTATCGAGCTACATGAAATTTTATAAATTAAGGGAATGATTTTTTTCACATGTCAAAGATAACGCGCGCGATTTTACAATAAAAAATTCTTATAAAAAATTCTTACGAGAATATACACTGCGTGTTATACTTTTTGAGAATATTTTTGAAATGTAAAAAAAGTGTGAAAGTATTAGTTGTATAGTTTATGCAAAGATAAAGAGACTATACAATGTCAAAATATCAAAAACACTTTTAAATATTAATTATATTCATCATATGAGCCTCTCAAACGGTAAATTGATCAACTCCACTTTTCCGTAAACTTTTCAACAAATTTATAAAACAATTTTAATATCAGCATGAGATTAATGCTTTGGTATTAAAATTTAAAAGGTTCACAAAAAATAAAGTTTATTAATTTAGCTTCTGAGAAGCTCATATATTAAAAAAGAGAGATTAATTGCTATTATATGTAAAACCATTTCGTATAATATCCTATAAATCCACGAACTAAAGACACTCATGGAGCACAAGACTTGTCGGTTGAAGGCCAAGCAGAGAAGACGGAAAATGAAAGGACCATGGTGAGAGATAAAGGGGGAGAATGATGGCAAAGCGCGATATCGGATGTCGAATTGCCGCCGTCGAGCTGCGGAAAAAGGAGTTCCGTAAGGGGTAGGAGGCAAAATTGCGGAAGAATTGCGATGCACATACCTATAAAAGACGGCCTGTCAATAGCATGGACCGCTCCGTGCGCGATTTCAATCGGTATCTTGTCTCTCTTTTTCTCCCTCCTCTCCTTCTCCTTCTCTACCGCAAAGCGATACGTGGTGCATACAAGGCACCACGTATGCATGTCGCAGTGTGCTTGCACCTGCGCAAGCACAGGGACGGATACGTGTGGGGACTAACGAGGTAAGCAAGCGAGAATCGAGATCCGCATAATTTTCGATGTATTGAATTTTTCTGATACCATTGTGATATGCGGGGGAAAATTCTTTATGCCAATCTTTGCGCTTTCGTTGTAAAATAAATATAGCGTGTATTTTTTTACATATATCCGTCAAAAACTAAATACATAAAGAAAAAAAAAACAGATTTAAATAATTGTACAAGTTTTTTCTTATTTTTTTTTGGCGAAAATTTTTTATCTTTTATCAATAGCAAGAAAGGAAAAATTCAATATTTGCTTTCAAGGATTGAGAATAATATAATTTTGTTGAATTTTGATAGAGAGAGAAAATTGAATTATAAATAAAATAACAATCTCTCCAACAGAAGGAAAGAGAGAGAAAGAAAAGAGAGAGAGAATTATATAATTTAAATAATGACACATGTTTTTCTGGAAAAACAAATTTTTTTATTTTTCTTTTGAAACTGATACGTGTGTGTGATTTTCTTCTCTCTATCAATAATCAATCATCACAATTTAATAATAAATATGAAACTATGAGAAATCAGTGATCCGTCCCTGCACAAGCACACAAGCACAGCCTTTCTTTTTCCTTTCAGCAATCCCGATATAAAACTCCGTCCGAGAAATTTTCTGCCGCGGCTCATTCCGTCCGCGTCTTATTTCGTGGTCGAAAGGATTTCGCGGGAATCGAAAACTCTACTCCACCCAATGCAGTTGACAGGTACAAAAGAGGAGAATTAAGACTTCGATATCACTTATGGTGTGACGTGCCAAAAAGCACAAAGGAGATATAATATAGAGAATTTACTTAAAAGAAGCATTAATGCTAATCTCGCGAAATTGAGAACACATAAGAGACATTTTAAATTAAAATTAAATAAAATTAAAAATTTCTAATATCAAATACATTTTTGTAAAAAACATGTCATTATGTAAATAAGCATCAAAATATTACATACAAATTACAGATTATCATTATATATAATTCTCTATGAAAAATTTATTAAAATTATTAATATCTTTACTGCATGTATACATGTTTCTAATTATTATCTTTATTTTTATGCGCAATGGTTTTTTATAATATAAATTTTCTTTGCTAAAAATACAATATTTGTTTCCGGATAAATGTCTTGCTTTTTTTAAGAATAAATTTTTATTAGTTTATGATCTTTATTTTTCTACAATTTGCTGTTTATTTAAAAAGATATAATTGCCGTTGAATATTTAAAAATATCCAACTTCAAATAAGCATATAAAGTGAAAAAGTGAAATCCAACTTGTGAGAAACATTTATTCTTTATAAAATTAAAGAAAAAAACTTTTTACGTATGTGAACAAGTTCCTTGGCAATCCTTCAAGATATATGGCAAGTTTGACCACCCTCGTATTTAAGTTTTTTAATTTGCTCCGCGATTTCGCAGCATCATTAAAATTTTTACGGAATAAAGGTACGATCGTGTCTTTAAAAATGCGAGAGACTCATTTTGTAGCTTTCTTTGAAAACTTTTTGAACTTTATAATATGATACATGCATAATAAAAGAACATAAAATATTTTCTTACTCTTTATATGTTACCTTCGTACTCGAAAATATGATTAAGTCCAATTTTTATCTACATGCAACTACTGGATGGACGAATTTCGTCTGCTTCACACAATAATAATAAACAAAACAAGAAAATTATATTATACAAAAAAATTATAGTTTTTAACAAAATAGGAAAATTATATTATATAAAAAATTATAGTTTTTGAAAAGTTTTTGTTAATTAATAGTATTTCAAATAAAAAAATAAATTTTTTAAATATGAAAAATATGAACCATTAAAGAATAATTTTGTCGGAATAAGTCCCTGTAGGCGAGCATATTGTCCGTGGAAGTAAGTTTTCGTGTAGTCCAGACTCTACCAAATAACAGAGTCAGAATGAAATTACGAACTAACCGGCCAGTCCCTCGAGGCGCCGAAAAATGATAGAAAAATGTGTGCGCACGACAATCTTTTTATTTTATTTATTAATGTATATGGAACCTCGAAAAGCGCATAATATCATATAACATTTTTATCACTTTTATTCTTAACATAAAAATTATTTCTTAATACAACATACTTTTTCTATATGAAATATTTAAATAAAATTTATAATAAAAAATATTCAAATATTTAATAATGCGCTATATAATCTTGTTAATAATAAATAACATATAATAATCTTGCAATATTTTATAAATGCACAATAACCTTAATATTTTGTAATATTTTATAGACTATTATTAAGAGGAGGGAACAAAGTCTCTGTTTTTTATAAAACATTCTATAAAATATGGCGATAATAAAAATTTTTATATTATATTATTAAAAGTTTTCTATTTTTATTTTATTTTTGTAATAACTTATAATGACAATAAAAAAAATGCTATCTATATTAAGCTTTTAAAAATCATAATCTCCTGGTTCTCAAATATCTTTCGCACACATTTGTGTATAATTCTCACTCATAAAAATTTGCTGGGAAACTTATTACCTATACAGACTTATTGTGCATCGTGACGTAAAAAGAATCGCGCAGTGACAATGAAGACAAAGTATGAGTACATGTGGGATAAAACCGTATGTATTGATACCGGCAAATTGAATGGAAGGATGAGGTGGAGACACCATTATAATTTGAGGGTATGTGCAAACGACGCGATATCGGGCTCTCGCGGCCTACTTTGCGACAAGCTTTCAAGCTTCATCCAGATAGTGCAGAGAAGCTTTCTTGTCGCACAAAAGACCCTCCACCGCGTCCTTCCGCAATCGAGATAAAACGACAGCCGGTACATGCAAACTTTCGTATCGGGCTCAACTTCTCGGAATTATATAAGCTGCGAAAAAAAAAACATCTGTGGGAGGGTATGCAAGATACTCTCTATCGCGCGTAAAATTTTGCATTATTTCACGCTAGTAATTCTTGGTGGTCAAGCTGACTCGATAGAATTGCCAAGGATAAAATATTTTTACACTCACCAATCTCGTTGTTAGAACAGCCATTGCATCGTGTAACCTTGAAACGTCGTGTTCCTTGCAACAAACATAAGAATGTTAATTCTCCGATAAATCATATAATATCTAATATATATTATAAAATATAATTTTACCTGATTATATATGAAGTGATATTCTTCGCCAGACTTCGTCGAAACACCAAAAGATTCGATTAAATGCACTCGTAATGGATGAGATGCTGCCGTACGAAAAATGACGAGGAAAGTGAAGTTAGTCACGTTCGATTCTGGCGGGAGACAAGCCACGTGATCGGTCGGTATCACGTCGATATCAATTTTGAAATGAAAACGGACGCATTTTTCACAGAACGCGGTATAAAATTAGTCGAGGAATACTTTCCTCAATTTTCATCAATTATTAAGGCGCCAAAAATTATTAATTAAATTATTTTTACAAACTTAAATAATAATAATAACAATAATAAACAACAATAATAATAATAACAATAATAATAATAACAATAATAAACAACAATGATAATAATAACAATAATAATAACAATAATAACAGTAAATAATAATAATAATAACAACAGCTGATAATAACCATCGCGATAAGACCGACGCTTGATAAAGAAGTGTGTTGCTATGACCATGCAATACCCTTCTTTATCAAATGTGTATTATTAATTTAAATATATATAAATGTAATTTTTACATGTATATCGAAGATCATTAAATATACATAGCGTGTCGCGAAACTTTCAAACTTTTACGCGCCCAACAGCTGTTTCCACGTTCCTCGATATCGAACGATTGTATCGAACGACAGATGGCGACGAAGCGGCGGTTCGAGACGGCGCCAAGCGAAATTAAAAATCTATACGTAAAGCGCCGGCTGTGGGTGAATGACGTCACGCCCCCGAGACAACATCACCCCGAGAGGATGGCGGTTCATCCCCGTCCGAGCGGACGGACAGCGCACGGGAATATCCCGGAACGTCGTCACGCTTAGTCGAGGAGGGCGACTGGAAGCGCGCGAGAGAGAAGGGCGTGAAGTTTGCCGTGAACGAGACGACGCTGCGCCCGGGGCGTAGAACGAGGACGGCGACGACCAGGGTGCAACAAGCGTCCGCGGACATCACGCCGGGCAAACATGAGTGAGCTAAACCCGCGGCTGATCGCGAGGCTCGACCTGTGCGTCGCGAATCGCACAGCTGAGTTCGCTGGAACGGGTGAGTGAGACCCTATTCGGGAGATTAATGTTAGAAAATGGTCGGGGTGTTGTCAGGGAGGGTTGTAAATTCGTTGAGCCCGATCTTCGATGGAGCAGAGGGAGAGCCTCGAATGACAGATGGAAGAAACGCGTCTCCGCGAAATTTAATCATTGATAGTACGAATTAATTTTCATTTGCCTTTTCATTTTCCTTTTTCAATTACGCGATGACGAAGCTATTTTATTCGACGAAAACCAGCATTGCGATCAGAGAGAGCATTCAGTTTCCGCGACGCAGTAATATTGGAATGGAATAAATAAAATGATTTTTTGAGATATTTCTCGTCTTTTAAAAATCTGTCTTTTAAGGATTTATCACGATACGTCGCGCTCGATAATAATAGTTGGAGGAATATATGTCACGCACCTAACTTTCATCCTGCGACGCAATAACTTTGACAGAACACGTACGTGCACATAAGGTAAAGTTTGCAGTAAGTTTTCCGCGACAGACAAATAACGAAAGATATTGTGCGTCTGTTTCTTATATATTTAGGAATCGTGGAGAATCTTTCGTCAAATTTCGAACAGAACGCGATGTATGTGACTATTTTTACGCAAAAATCGCGTACGAACTCGATTAAATTTCGTGAACATAATTCATTTCAAAAACCTTTTTCTACTATTATTCCTGGTTTATAAATTGCACCATGTTTATGTTTTGTCTCGCGTATTTCGTAATGTTTTTTTGTAATGTGTTCGAGCTTTAAATTTTAAACTTTTCTCGTATCGATAAGAAGTTACGTCGATATGACAGCGCCATTATTACAGCGTAATAATGTGCCATTTTTCAAAACTTTTTTAAATACTGCCTTCGAAAAGAAAATATAAAAGATGAAAATGTCCTGTGAAATGAATATCGCGTGATAAAGAGTTTCGTGCTCTCTCCGTCCCACACACACGTATTCCATATTAATTAACTAGTTCCATATTAATTAAGCAATTATTAAACATCGTTAAAATGTAGCTTGGACTTGTTAAGAAAGAAAAGTTTTTCTTTGCACAATTTTTTAAATATACAATAATGAACTTTGTGCGCTGTTTTCTCACATAATTTTACATTTATAATTTGATTCATCAATGTTGAAAATCGTGCTCAACGGAATATTTATATCAACTTTATGGCAATTCATTTTTTTAATATTTTATTAATTATACATGACTGGCATAGCGTGAAAAAAATTTTATATATATCTGCTAAAAGCGTTACTTGCATGCGATTTTAATCAAGCTTTATTAGCGACGGTGTGTTAACCATGTCCTTTTTTAATTATCTAAAAGTAAAGAAGCAATTTTTATCGTGCTTAACACAAATTAAACTTTAAACATTTTTTTGTAGAGAATAACTTTGTATAAAAAAGCACATGCATATATTGATCGGGTAAAAAAATTTTGCCAAAATATATATATTTTGTCATATATTTCAGAAAAAAATTATAAATATATAAATTAAACTATAATGACAAAATATCATATGACAATCATATGACAAAATATTTATTATTGAAATCTAAATTAAATTCTTAAAAAGATTCCTCATATATTATATTCGGAGAAATGTTTTCTCTTAAAATAAAAATAATTGAAATATGATAAACTCGTATCGCTTGAAAATCGATCGACATTCTGCTATCTTTACATTGCTTTGTCCTACTTTTTTATTACATGATTATTTCATGATTGTAATTTTTAAATTAACAACAATACATAATATTCAATTTACAGAGAGCACTTTTAAAAGGGCGGATATAATTATAAGCAGCTCATTTGAGAATTTTATTACACAATTTTATTTTTGTGTTCCTTTTTTCAACATTTTCTCGTAAGATATTCGAATAATTATTTTTTAGTTTTTATTTTATGTTTGACATACATTTACTCTCTACATTTTAGATGCTTTGTGCTGATTGTAAATCAGTTTTAAAAAATTTTTTAAATTTTACTTACAATTAAAAATAATAAAAAAGGATAAATAAGAATAAAATAAGAATAAATAAGAATAAAATAAAATAAAAATAAAATCAAGTTTTGAGTGATTCTGATCACCATTTTGATAAAATTATAATTTCTTTTCAATAAAGGCGATCAAATCATGATTTATAGTACTTATTTTTGAACAAATTTAAAAAATAATAATATATAATACAAAACAATAATTTTCATAAAATTTAAAAAACCATGAATAGAAAAATCTCTTCCAAGAACATTTATAAAAGAGCATTTCGAAAGTTTTGATATCATTCTTACGTGCTCAAATTTTTATTTGACAAGCACTTAGGTATAATCAAAAATCACCTTATGTAGCTCAAGATATTTAGGAAAAGTTATCTACATTTTTTAAGATAATAATATATAAATAAATAAAAAGAATTTTAATTTTAGTTTTTTTTCAGTGGACCCGCCCTCTTAAACGATGCACGTTTCAACATCCAGGAAAAATTTAAAATCAAAATTTAAACGCACGATTAGCACGCTTCTACGATATCGTTCCTATTTCATGTGTCGCTCATTAATCGTTCATTTATCGTTGCCAAGATGTACGTCGGAAAGCAAAGGACATGGCACACCTGTAGATACGAAATGCCGGACTAGCGTACGCACGAGAGAGCGAGTGGCCGACCAGAGTAGTGGCAGAGCAAGAAGGCAGAGCAGAGTAGTGAAGAAAGGGTAGAAAGCAAGTACGTAGAGAAAGAAAGAGAGAGAGAAAGGGAGAGAGATTGCTCGAAAAAAAAAATTTACGTGGCGCAAAAAATCTCGCGGGGAGAAAGAGAGAGAGAGAATGAGTCACGCTCAACAGCATGTGCTTGCGAGCGCGATAGTTCTCGCGCTGTTAGTGGTATTCGGCATCCACGTCTTCCTGTTCCCCATGTATGACACGTCGTCCCCGCCTGCACGCCACACCAAGATCTCCGTGTACGAGCAGGCGCTCTGTCGCACGACCCTGAAGACGTCCAACGTCCGAGCAACGGCGCCTGAATGGCGCAACAATCCCTGTCCCAAGTACGGCATAGTCTCGGCAGTGCAGGGCGGGAGACTCGGCAATCAAATCTGGGAATACGCGTCCGTGTGGGCGACCGCTCGTAGGACTGGCCTGGAGCCGTTCATGCCACGCTGCATCCTCAAGACCCTGGAGGAGCACTTCGAGAACCTCAGCATTCCGCCGCTCAGCTACATCAGCAGATGCACCCTGGACGTCGGGCAAGTGGTCAATTCGCTCAGTCAGTGGAACAGTACGGAGCAGAACATCATTATACCCAGGTTAGCCTTGTTGAGGAGACTTCACAATTGACTATGAAATCAGATTAAATTAGACTAATTATTGCTAGTATATATTGGTGGGTAATGTAACTAGAATTAATACTAGTGTAGAATAGAATAAAATAAATTTAGCTTGTTTCCTACTAACTTATAAATGTGTGGATAAATATTAAAGATAAATTTCTTACCTCAGACATGCGGCTTATTGGTCCTTGATACTGGTTTGGCTGGACGACGTACGGCGAGAATTCACGTTCAAACCGAGTTTGAGGATCTACGCCGAGAAAGTATTGAAGCGTGTGGCAGAAAAGTTCAACTTGTCCTCGCCAACCTACGTCAGTGTACACGTGCGTCGAACCGATTACGTGGATTACCTTTGGCAGAAACTGAAGACGCGGCCCGCACCGGTAAGTTACTACCTGTCGGCGATGGATTATTTCGCCGGCAGGTACAGTAACGTTGTCTTCGTGGTGACGAGCGATAATATTGCCTGGTGCAAGTATCACTTGCGCAGCAAGCGTCACAGAATCAGTTTCGTATCGGATAACGATGGTAAGGGCCCGGGCAAGGATCTAGCGGTCTTATCCGCGTGCAACCACAGCATAATAGATTACGGCACTTATGGCTCGTTCGGGGCCATTTTAGCCGCTGGTGAAACAGTAGTTTACAATGTAACAACATACTTTTCTACATTGATCGCTGACGTTCTACCAAACTGGAGAATAATGAGTTGAATAAATTGAGAAATTCAAAGCTTTCAAGCATAAATAGAACATATTTACGTTGCATCATATATACACATTTTATGTAATTACATATTTTTTTCAAAAAGCGACATATATATTATTTTTGGCAAGTTTTAATCAACTTATGTAAAAGAGAATTTTGAAGAATCTGTTAGGTTATCGCTCTTTCAATATCAAAATTTGCAATTAAATGTTCAATTGCTTTATAAATTGTTATCGGATTGGAAATATTGTATTTGTTTTACGCGTAAAATCACCATATATTATTATATATTTTTGCTATCTATGGTGCAAATATGGTAATTAATATTATAAACTACATGAAAGTGTATATCTTGCCTTTATGTCGCCTATAGATAATACGTATATATATAAATATTTTTCTTTTATTTATTATACAAATGCATAAACATTTTGCCAGCAGTAAAATTCAATGAAAGTGTGTGTTGCTACATCACATTAAATTTTATATTTGTAAATGCATCAAAATGCGCTTAGTATTACGCACATACATATATTACGCTCTTATTTAACTTTAGTGTGCGTACACACAAACTAGAAATCGATGCACCTGTAAATGTAGCGAGCGAGGAAACCTTTCAAGGAACTCGCGAGGAAAAGGTTTACAATGGAACAATGGACCACTAATATCTAAAATTAAAAACAGATGCTTATTTTTTCTACGATTCTGATACAAACTCGACATGGTCGTAAAAATTTAATGAAAAGAAAACAAAGAAAGCGTATAGAGATATCGGCTATCCTTTTCAAATAAAGTGGCGATCAAGTGAGCTTAATATATTCACAAAAAAAAGAAACATGCGTACGAATAAATTCTACATTTGTGCAGAGTGCTCAGAATTGCATCTGGTTGATGATCCCTTAACTTTGGCGTGAGATTTTTCCCGAAAACTGGATTTTCTAATATTATTTCGTAGTTTATATATCGTTTTCTATAACATGTAGTCTAGTATCGTGAGGTTTCAGATCGATTGTGTTTACACGTTTCAATGTGTATTTCATATCGTAGTAAACGTGTAAGATAAATACTTGACGAAACCGATATATTGATAACCATCTCTATAAGTCTTATAATGTACAATGATTTCAACTGTGATTCTATTTCTTATTGTGCCAAAATTCTTAATATACACATAAAAAGAAATATATATATGTATACATATATATAAATATATATGTATACATATACACACACATCTATATATATATATATGTATTATAAAATTATATCTATACAAGGCATTGTATAATATTTACAAATCTGTGAGCAAATGATAAATTATTTCTTCACTTAACCGTTAAGTATTATAAAGAGAAAAAAAGTTTACAGAGACTACTGCGCGAAAAACTGTGGATGGGGAAAAATATTTTACATATAAAGCCAGTGTTTGAAATTTATTATAACCATGTGACCTGATGTATCTGACTTATAGTGTTTTACAAGTTAGACTAGTCAGTGTGTCTAATATCTATATGTTAATATCTATATATGGATGTATCTTCAATGTATTTGTTGCCTGTCAGTTGTTAGATATTTGACAAAATGTTGTGGCGCAAAAAGAAAGTTGTGCTATTAGTAATAGAATTATACGATAAAAAAAAATGAGCCGAATAAGATATCGAGATTTTCCATTCAATGCTAACTATGTGACGAAAGATGCGATTACAAACAAAAAGATAAATAAAAATAATTACTGAGACTATACAACTTCCAGGCATCGATACGATCTACTCTGTACATTCTCTGTGATAATTTTATGTAATTTTTGGAAACACGCGTAAAAAGCTGAAAATGTATATTCGTTTTACAAAATAAAAATACTCTGTGTCAAAATTACACGCATGTATTAATTTTATTAAAAATTATGTTTCAGTGTTTCTTTCAGTAAAAGAAGTATTGCTACATGTATCACATGCGCATATTATTAATCTGTATAGTATCAAACTTATCAAAAATGTTATATTGAAGCCCTTTCATTGAAATGTGTAAAGATAGTAATAAGATAATAATAAGAACGGCGCAATTTTTTTAGACAAGGACATAAAATTGCTATAAAAATTAATTATATATAAATATTTATAAAATGTATATTACTGATGCGCATTAACAAAACTCGTTGGACCTAGACCCAATTTCGCACCGGCTATCCTCATCCTCAAAGGCTGAAATCCAAGTTCAGCTTTGGGAATCCCATATTCTTGCAATTTACTCTCATAAGTCGCTAATAAATCGTCGTGTGCTTTACAAACCTTCGCCAATTCATATTGCAGATCTTGTATTGCAGTATTTTTTCTATTAAGCATATCCTATAAGAAAAGAGAATAATATAATATAATCGTATGCGATTTAAATAGATTGTAACGAGATTTTAATTTAATACATACTTCTAATTTTTTATTCGCATTGACCACCGCCGTAGGATCTAATTGAGCAGCGGCCAACGCTTCGCTGATCTGCGCTTCTCGTTGCTCCAGTAACTCCGATAATTTTTCCAATTTTTTCTCCAAGAGAACATTTTTTAAACCCGTTTTCTGTTGCAGTTCGAAAATAGCCGAGACAAATCTAGAATGTAACTCGTCTCTCTCGGATTGACACTAAAACAGACAAAATAATATTAAAAAGATCACGTTCACGTATCATATGCTTGTATGTTAAACTATCTTACTTTTTCAAAACGCAGTTCAAGCACTTCATTTTCCCATTTTAAATTTTCCAGGTCCTTTGCCACTGTAGACAATCTTCGTTTCGTATTCTGGAAATGTCGTTAATTCAATTAAGTATCTCCGTTTATAATAATATTGTTGTACAGCAAAGATACATTTCAGATATACTGACAGCTAGAATTTGTTTATCTTTCTCATAATTTACAAGCTGACGATTAAGTTCAGAAGATGTTTCTTGCAATGATTTTAAATCGGTCGAATATTTTTTATTTTCCGTTGTCAATTCTCGCACTTGCTTTTTCATACGTTCTTCGTTACTTCTCATCGCTTCCATTTGTTCCTGTAAAAACATTTGCCACGTTAATTGGAAGTCTTTTCAGATCATTTCCTCTTTGCAATCGCGAGATTTAAATACAACAGATAGCAGACTTCACCTTCATGCTCTTAATTAACGATAAATTATTGAGAGTGATATCATTATAATAATTTTTCATCTCGGCAAACGCATTTTCGTGATTTTTTATCAAATTCGCAATTTGCGCATTTTTTCTTTCCTCCACTTCTGTAATTTCCATTCGATGCTTCAACGTTAAGGACTCGTATTGACTGGTTAATTTCTGTTCGTACTTTTGCTCCAATTCTACCGCTTCGGACTCGAATTTGTTCATCATGTTATTCATTTCCTCCGAATGATGCTGCGTTTAAATGATGAGAATTTTTTTATTAGAATTAATAATTGTAATTTAATAATTGTAATTTTTTCGGCAAAATTTGTTACATGTGCATCTTACCAACTTCAACGCTCGTATTTCATTCATGTACGCCAATTCTTGTTCGTTTTGCGTTTTCTTGAGTTCCGTTTTGTCTTTAATAAGTTCGTTTTCTTGCGCAACGTGATCGTCTTGCGCCAATTTGAGAGCAACCAGATGCTCGGCCTTGCTCTCGGACAAATTAGTCTGATGCTCGTACATCAAGTGTTTTACTTTCTGCTTGTATAACTTGAGTTCGGCCTCGTGCTTCTCTGCTAGTTCCTCTTTCTCACGTTCTTTATTTCTATACAAATTAAAATTCTATGCAAACATATTTATATTAGATTGGAAAGCGCATCAGCGATGAAATTAAAGATACCTGACTATAGCGCGTGCTTCATCCAGCTGATGTCTCGTAATTTCCCAAAAAGTTCGCAATTTATCTCTCTCTAATTGAAAAAAATTTCTTTCCTCCCGCTCACGTTCCATTTCTTCTAAGATTTTGTGAGCATATATTTCCAATTGCTCCCTATTCATTTTCGTTGTATCTACCCCATCAACGTTATCCATCGTTTTCCCTTTTGCCTTTTTGGGACCCTTTTTATCATGTAATTTTTATATATAAGAAATATATCAAATTAGAAAAATTAGAAAATATTTTAAAATTAGAAAGAGAATTAAATTTTATTAATTAAATAAAAATTAGAAAGAGAATTTAATTATTTAAAATTAGAATTATTTATTTAAAATTTGCAGTTAAAATTAGAAAAAGAATATTTTATTATTATATTATAATTTTAATATTTATATATGTTGGCGATAATAGTTTATTAGTTGAAAAATTAAGTTAGTTAAAAAGCTAAATTAGTTAAAAAGCTATTATTATGGTATACACATGTAAAAATATTTATAATTAATTATAAAAAATAAAAATATGCAATAATATTAACAAAAAAATTAAATTAAATTAATATAAAAGTTAATATTTAAAATTAATAAAACTTACCATTTTTTATCGATAAAAATACGTAAAAAAATTATTCTATATGATGTTTCTTTAAAGATTACAGCAAATGTACAATAACAACAATAATAATGATAATGATACTACTATCGAGTCTATAGTTCACATCAGCTGACGTAGGTCTGTACAACTCGCTACGTACTTAGCTTGACATTTTCGAGTGAAACTGTTTTGTAAGATCGTTTCTAAGCAACCATGTCTATGTATTGATATGGATTCTATATATACAAATTTTACACTTCGATGAGACTATAATTTTTAAATAGAAAATGTAAAAGAACGATATATATATATATATTAATACATATTATATATTATATTACATAAATTATATTAATACATAATTTAAATATTCACAATGCATATATTACATGTTTAATATATAAAAAATTTAGAATATATAATGTATATAAAATATATGTACTTATATATATACACAAATATATATATATATATATATATATATATATATACATATATACATATAAGAATCACATTAACAGAAATTAATGTTTACGTCATCAATCTATTGCTTCCAATATATACTGCATCATAGGCTTTATTTGTACTGTGTAAGAAAAATATATGGTTGTGATATAATACCAATTAATTGATAAGTTATAAATAACAAGAAAAGTTCTATTAATCGTCGTATTTCAGATAACTAAAATAGAGGAGTTAAATACGTCACGATTATTGTATTTTTCAATGAATTTATTTATTCACATTTACTCCATTTATTTATTCACATTTACTTTATTTCTTAAAAACAAAATTTGACACTTTGGAGCATATTATTTTATAATATCTGAAGGAAGCATATGTATTTTGAATTATAATCATGATATCTCGCTGTATCAATATAAACAATATAAAAAGGTTCTTAGTTTTTCAATTATTGCCAGTCGCGCACAAAGATGCTAACATTACATACATTTCATTAAAAATTTCATTCAACTAAAAAGCTCGTATTAAGAAATTTATCTAATAATCTATCTTCTAGTAATGCGTAATGTATCAACAACAAAATTATAAATACACATTAACAATTAATGTATAAATATTTAGCATTACAATGGTTTTATTCGCCGATTATAAACTTACGAAAAGTCGTGCACGCAAATGTAATAACGCATTACCATTATTTATATACATAAAAATCTGTGCATTCTGTAGAAAAATTTGACAATATAAATTATGAGGTAGAACTAATCTATATACGGCATGTAACGAACATTGGGAGAAAAGGTAATCCTTAATTCCCTTTGGATTTGGTCCATTATCAAACCTATCTGCCGAGTCGTGTTATGCTCATATTCATTCACTCAATAATAATAATTATCTTACTAAATTTATGCTCAATCATTCATTTGATATAACAATTATATGGAAATAACTACCCTCTAAAACCAAATATATACCTGGCATAATTATTTTTCTTAGAAAAAAAATTTTGATAAAAATTATACGACAAAATTTACTAATATATGATCATACTTCTTAAATGTAGAAATCCTTTTATCTCATAACAATAAACAATTGTTTCGTATGTATATTCATTCAAAAATGAACATGCAATAAAAATAAATAGTTACGTTAATCTTGTTCACTCAAAAAAATTCTGTCGAGCTGATTATATGGAATGCTGTATGTCGCATGACAGTTGCCTAACATCTTTTATTGTGCTTAACTCGATTCGCCATTAAATTGTAATAGACATCCCCACAGCGCCAAAGTAACCCTAAAATCATAAAGAGATACATCTGTGATATCTAAACGATGAATTTTTTAAATTTTAGGCTATCATGTCTTTACTTCATGTTCTAAAAACAGGGCTTTCAAGGTTCCTTTAGACCAATAATCCATAGCATAGGCCAATAATTTCATCGATATTGGATTTACCCTGAGAAAATTTCCAGCAAATACAACCTAAAAACAAAAATTATTACAAAATGCCAATATAAGAAATTGTACAACATAGTTTACATATGTATTATTACCCTCTCAATTTTTTCATTAACAGCACACATGCGCGCAATAGAACCGATGTTATTTGTGATAGTAACAAGTGTTGCACGCGCTAGATCTTCTTTTGTAACAGTATTTCTGCGGTCTTTGGAATTCATTTGTCCGAAGCTAAAAACGGAACAAAAAATGGAACTGCTATAAAAAGTAAAAAATCAAAATTGCACTGCTTAACGACGATTAATAATTACGGTAAATTACCTGCTCGCAACTAAGTCTCCAGGAAGGCCAAAAGGGCCGTAATCGCCGCCATATATATCTTTGACCAATTTATCTACTTTTGTGTTATCTCCACCCGTTGCTAATTCTATCGCTTCTTCAAAGGTGTTACAACCAGTAAGTAAACAACATAATCCCAAAAATGTTCCGCCTCCTAAACTACATAAGACAATTACATACATTATATTGATATCATTTAAAAATGAATCTTGACCCAACATGCAATGTACGTATATAATACTTGTTCATTGTAATATATATATATATATACAGGGTGATTCGAAAGGTCAGGTCAACCAACTAGGAGATGAAAGAGGAGTTTGAGTAGAATAAATAATGTAAATAAACTTTTTTGATATTCGCTATAGTTTAGTAAGTAATTGCACTTTATATGAGTGTATAGAAAATATGTGTGTGTTATATTTTAACTACAAAATAAACAATACATTGCATGACACATAATGTTTTTTTGCGTTCATTAAAGCAGGTGTTCAAAATGCTGTCCTCTATTACGCAAGCATAATTCAGCGCGCACTTGAAGTTTGCCGCATTCGTACTCTGTTCATACTTGCTGTGTCGTTATCAGTGAAAATGCTATTGAAGGTCATACAAATTCTACTATGTAATACGTTACACAGAGGAAAAATATTTAAATTATTGAAGGAGTTTTACGCTTTTTGTACACATAAAGTGCAATATTTACTAAACTATAGCGAATATCAAAAAAGTTTATTTACATTATTTATTCTACTCAAACTCCTCTTTCATCTCCTAGTTGGTTGACCTGACCTTTCGAATCACCCTGTATATATATATATTATATATATATATATATATATATATATATATTACCTCGTTCCAGATATTCTTTTAAAATTTTCTGGCCCATATACAGCTAATATGCTTACTCCAGAGCCTATGTTAACAAGCTAAAAGATACAATCGTCAAATCATTTTTGCTGAGGAGAATGTATACAAGAAAATATATATATTTTGATGTATCTTACCAAAAAAGGATATGGTTCAGAAAAATCATAAGGTACTTTCTGACATTTGCTGTTGTCGGTGGGATTTGACCAATAATAGCATTCATGTGGATTAGTGGTTTCTATGTAGAGCATTCCACGTATTAAACTATGTAATTCATCGAATTTTGCCAAATTCATGTTTACTTCCTGTCAGAGATATTTCGAAATTATATGATTTGTTAATGATAACTAAATAAATATTAAGATATGCGATTCCGCACCTTCTTAAAATTATCCTCGAATTTAAAGGCACCACCACCTGTGGCGCAAACAGTAAGTCACAAGATTCGCCATGCCCTTTGATTTTGCTAATGCTAAAAAATTTCCCATTTCACTTGTAGGAAATCTAATGAAATGTAACGTTCCTTGTCTACCTCTAATGCGAACATTATTCATCTGAAATAAGAACAATTATAAGAACAGGTTTATATAAGTAAGGTACAATTATAATCGAATATTTAACTGACTTGTAAATGCGTATCACGATGACCGGTTTTTCCATACGCGGAATTTTTAGTAAGATATCGACGAATATTTTTCAACGTCTCAACTTCTGCATCTGCCTCGTCTCTCGTTATATCCTTTGGCTCAAAGTACACTAATTTACATAATGTACCCCCTATATCCCATTCCAAACCAAGGCATCGCTATAACAATAATTATAGCGATTAAGATTTTATTTATTGTAATTTATGCAGGAATATTGAAAAAAATATTCAAATACAAATACTTATAAGGCAATTATTATTAGCAACTTAAAAAGCACAATTTTACAAAAACTATGAAAGAGATTTCTGGAAATGTGATTATATTAATAAGCTTATCATGCAGAAAAATTATTGCGATAAAAAGATATACACAGCAAAAATTGTCTAATTACAAATATTTATTTGGAGATACTCAAACAAAGTAAATATAACTCTGAATTTTTCATCACAAGCATTACTTTGTTATTTAACTTATGTTTATGATCAATATTTTACTAATATTATAAATTATGCTTGTGTATATATAATTTCAAATTAAGAAATTAAAGTTCTAAAAATAATTGACATAATAATCACAAACACAAAGTCACTGTCATTTATAAACAATGTATCAGCTAATACAAATAAAAAAGGTAAATATAATAAATAAATATAATAAAAAGTAAAAATTAGCAATCTAAGCACACATACAGTCCATTGACTCACAAGGAGATGAATGATTCCTCGCTTCTTTAGCCATAATCTTGCCAGTGGAATATCCATTAGACTCCATGTTCTTTGGAGTTAAATTATTTTTATGGTTTTGTGGACTCATTGCTCAAAATTGTATAGTTTATCATGAATTTTTTTCTTATAGTAAAAAATCTCTTTGCTGCAAGAAAAAAAATAAATATCTAAATTTAAAAAACATGAGGATTATAATATATGCACCTATCAAATAAGATATTGCATACAAGATAAGATGTTGCATACAAATAGAATTCCCTTTATTTCTCTTCACACACACACACACATATATATAAATATTACATAAATGATTTTTCATAGATAAGAATTTTATAGATAAAAAAATCTCTTCAACTTTAAAATATTTAAAGATATGCACGCAGAAGCCTATCAATTCTGAATAATTATCATCAAATATACAGTGTCAAAGATCATCTTTCATTTATGCACATATTGAAACATCTATACATATAAATATATATAAGCGATATTACATACGATTGTATTATATACATGATTTTAAACCTTCTGCATTATTTTAATTCACTTGCTCCTATGTTTTATACATGTGCGAGGCAAAAATAGATTTAGATTTTGCTGTATTTTCTGCTATATTATAATGAAAATGAAAGATCATATCGTTCCTTGAAATGCAAATTTTTGAAATTAACAGTATTTTAAATAAATATTATATATCTTTGTCATGCAATATATAAATGCAGTGTTCGTGTTAAACTAATATCTATCAAATTAATGGGTATACAGCTTTAATATGCCTTTCTAATAATGAGAAATGATATTTTGGGGGTACGTGCAAACACATATATATATGTAAGAAGAGAAAAACAAAGAGAGAAAAGAATTCTTACTTTCTAATGAATATCCACCAGTTCATTATTTCTAAACGATAACAAATGACAGAAACACGGGACGTCACGTTATGTAAGTCGCAAGTGATAAATCAGCAATCGTCTAGGCGATTAATTTTTTACTCCCGCATCCGTTCCGATAGCTTAGATATCACGATATTCTACCTACCGTTCGCCAACACCTCGCGACCATCGCGAACACCTTACATCACACTGTACGATTCGTCGCGATGTAGATATTATATCGTTAGGTTTTTATCGAGTCATACGCTGACGTACATCGTCCTCGATCGCGCGACTAC